AAAAATTCCATTTTTCTCCATAATAAAGCGTTATTTGATCAAACCAACTATACAGCGATTCTTAGGATACATTACCCTAACTAACTTGAAAGTATGAGCGAAATCGATTTTTCGAAGTTTGCCGCGGATTTTGAATTTTGCTTGATCGTTACAGACAGTCACTCTTAATTCGGTACTCCTACGGAGTACAATTAACGCTATAATTGTACTCCTCTCGACCAATCAGAGTCGAGTAATTTTGTTGAGTGTACTATAAAAAATAAAATTTGCTCGCCAGTACAGACACGTAACTGTTAACTGGCCTGTTGACTGCAAAGGGCCTATTGCTAACTAAATAGCCTTTTTTGAAAGGTTTAAGTTTAGCTTAGATTGAAATTTGTCTGTATTTTAATGTTTGATCCAACAATAAGTTTGACTCCTTTTTAGGCATTTCAGCTCACTTTCGACACTCCTTAGAACGCACCACTGATTTTCCAAACGTAATGCTATTGGCTTTTTTAATTTTGTTTCATTTCTTTGACTGAATTGAAACTAAATAAAGGATGGTTCATATTTTGCACTTTCTAAGTTGAAATGCCGTGAACGCTGAAGGTAGATGTATCCCTATTTTTTTTCAGAAGTTACAATGGAAAGTTCGAATCCTTTACAACGATTTCTCAGAAGAAACGGGACCACCGATAATTTCAGTCATGCAATCAATAGCACCAGCAGAGAATATGTATTTGCCCCCATTAGTTTCCACGTCAAACTCATAATATTCACTGCCATGCTCTCATTTGGAGTGTATGGGTTGATTGCAAACTCTCTGATACTTTATTTCAAGCACAAGCAACACAGAAGAAGACGCCATGCAATAAAAAGAGCACTCAATCGATCCTTGACAGAATATTTCATCAATAGTCTTGCCTTGTCAGATTTGCTCTGCTCTATTATCAGCTTTCCCTTGTTTGCAACTGAACTGTTCATTGACTATGTCAAAAGTGACTCCATTTGCAGATTCATTAGATTTTTTGGATTATTCTTTTCTGTGTTAACACTACTTAATCTTTTAGTTATTGGTTTAGAGAGATATCGAGCCATTTTTCGTCCATTTTTTTTTTTTTTCTAAGGCAAAGAAAAGCTAAAAGAATGGTCGTTGGAGCTTGGATTTTAGGGGTTTTGATAAGTCTTGTTTCGGTTCCTGCCTTTGGGCTCGTGTACTCCGACTTCGGAGACAACCGTTATACTTTAGTTTGTAAATACGATAGCTCAATACCATTATATCAAGCTTTGCTTACCGGTTTTCTCTTCATTTTATATATCGTACCGAGTTTTATTTTAACTTTCATCAACCTTCGTATTTTAAAGCGTCAACGAGACTTCAAACGTGTTAGTAACGCTTCTCAAGCCACTCAGAGGACTTTGTCACGGCTAAAAGTAACGAGGATGTTCGTATCCCTGATATTTGCTTTCATCATTCCTTACATGGCCTATGTCGTGTACTCGAGTTTTGGATTGGTTTTCAATGTTAATGTTTCATTCAGCGATGACTACATTGCTCGTTATATTAGTGTATCTCTGGTATATGCTAACGGTTCAATAAGCGCAACCATCTTGATATATTATGAAAAGTTATACCTTGATTTTTTGTCATGTTTTCGATCAAGATGCACCAAAATTATTAATATTCGGTCTAATCATATTGTTCCTAGACAAACTCCAGTTAATGGTGTAAAGGAAACATTAGTTTAAAGCTATTAGAAAAGGCATTAATAATTCATGAAGAAAACACAATAGAAATCATGACCATGAAGGTGATTTTATATCTGATATAGATTCGTCTTCATTTGCATAAACTTCAACTTGGATTTTCTCTATCAAACTTGGTTCATTTCGTAAAAAAATCGGTACACTATGAGAACAAATATCATGAGTTTTCTAAGCCGTTCAATAATCTCGCAGATCGTGCTTTATCGGGTCTAAAACCACTCGGCTGCGCCTCGTGTTTTATACCCGATAAAAAACTCCTGCTCGTTTATTAAACATTACTACTGGTTTACTTTCCAATTTTTTATGTCAAAAATTTGGGAAGAAATCCCATCTGATATTAAAAAGCAAGCTCCTTTTTTTATTTTCAAGATATAAAATTATCTTCATGGTCATGATTTCTATTGTGTTTTCTTCATGAATTATTAATGCATTTTCTTATCATTAATTGTTATATTTATTTATTTATTTTATTCCTCTATACTTGGTCGATATTAGTTATTGTTTTAAGAGGAAATTATTTTCATTTGATCCCAATTTTCGTTTTAATTTGGGTTAACACTCAAAACCTTTTTTAAACAGTTAGAAGCTGATGTACTATGATAAAATGCCTGTTTGAAGTGGTATTTTCAATTGTACAAAGATGTTTTGTTGCATTTGTGTTAGAATGTTGCTTTGTTGGGCTTTTTTATAGAAAATATATGGGAATTAATAAGCAAATGAAGGCCTAGACCTCATTTTCGAATAAATTTTTTGCTTTGGGTTAACACTTTGATCCCACTTTCATCGGTCATCTCCACTTCAAAACAAGTTAAACTTTCTGAATAACAAGATTTTAGCCTTGTGCAACAGCCTTTCTTCAAGGAACTAGTTTTTGGCGCTCACTGCTTGAATACTTGATCTATATTCAGGGGGTGGTTGTTGACTCGAAAGTTTATACTCTTTCAAGAACCACACACACTTTATTATATTTCCAAACTATTATTATATATATTCTTATATTTACTTCTATTATGATTACGTAATTTGTTTATATATTACCTCTTGAATTGTTAAATGTGTGTAAATTTATTAGACCCTTATTATTAAACCTATGATTGCTCCGTTAATTAAAAAGACGGATTAAATTTCTGAGATCCTTTCAATGTTTTAATGCAGTCAAGCAAGACTGTATGTTAATCTCTTACTTTGACGTTCCAAACTTTCTAAAACATGCAAACTGTTTTATAAACTGAACCATATTTATTGACAACACCCCGCGAAATTGCCCTCTCTACACTGATGATCTAGATGATTCCCGACTCAATCTATCTGCTACAATAAAAACGAGAAATACGGCCCGCTCAAACAGGCAATCACAACGCGCAGTCTTTTGGACGCCGAACCGAGAAAAAAGGCTTTTATTTAATTATATGCGATGCAATCTTTCATTGAACATTACAGCCTTCGATAGCTCAGTTGGCAGAGCGGGGGACTGTAGGGTATCCAAAGTTATCCCTAGGTCACCGGTTGAAATCCGGCTCGAAGGATTTTTTTCCTTTTGCTGCGACACCACTGTTTATTTTCAATGTTTGCTGAATCAGTTGGGTCACAAACAAACATTAATATATCGTCGACGTTCCCTTACTGAACCCTTATTTTTGAGGATAGTGGCAATAAGAATACTGAAAAACTGGAATATGTTCTTTACCTCAGTGTATACCGCATGGGTTGGGCACTGACTCATGGCTATGAAAATGCAGCAGTTTTCTTGGTGAATGGTCAATTAGCACTCAGCGGCATTCTTGTTATTGCATTACAAGTCATACTCGGGGAAATCTTACTATAGTTCCTTCGATAGCTCAGTTGGCAGAGCGGGGGACTGTAGAGTATATAAAGATATCCCTAGGTCGCTGGTTCAAATCCGGCTCGAAGGATTTTGTTACGTTTTGCTCATAATTCTTTTTCATTATCGGCGGCATTCCATGTTCACTACACAGGAGCCTCAATCTTTGAAAATACGATAAACATCAAATTTAGAACTTGAAAACTATTGTCTCATTCCATTTTCCCCTTTTGAAAAACAATATGTCTTTAACTTCACGGAGTTTCTACTTTACTCCCACCTGACTTGCCACCTTACTCCCACCTTACTACCACCTGACTTGCGATGGGCTTCCTGTGGCGTATTTGTCAATGACCCCAAAACAGGCAGCAGCGGGTGCTCCTATGTCTATTCTTTAAAAACTTTCTAGATTTATTTTCAATAACTGTAACATTAAACTTTATCCACGTATGTACCTTTAAATCTAATTATAAAAAAAGAGATATTGAAACAATTACTGTTTCCGTTTAAAGGAAACATTTTATTGGCATATATACACAGCTGGAAAAACTGAAATTTTTATTAATAACACAACCGGGCTTCCTGTGTATATGCAAATGATCTAGTGAGGTGGAAAATAAAAACTTCCATGACCTCGGCTCGAAGCAGACAACAAAATGGTGATTTTTGTGAGTTCCTTTTTTGTTCTGATCGCCATCTGTGGTGTATTTTACTATCTTACCTTGGACAAGCAGCATTCAAGTAGTGATCCTGGTTTTATAGCGTTTCAAAGGACCTATCTTGTTGTTTATCTTCTCGCTCAAGGTAAGCTTTGAACGTTAGTTAAGATTAAATACTTGCAATTTTTCTTTTATTAAATTTTTTATATTCATCGTTCATTAGACTATTTTGCTCTATGCTTCGTTTTGAGATTTCGACCTTATTATACATAGAATAATTTAATCTTAAAGCTTAATAATTTAAGTTTACATATATACAGTAACTAAAAATATTTCATTTTTGTAATGGGCCTATTTTGAGCCACGTCAAAATATTTAATTCTACCCAGACCGAAGGGTTCGTCATTTCCGGTCTTAAGTATAGTCGGTTTGTATAGGGTTACATTCAACCTCGTGTGTAGCCTCAGTTGTATATCTTAGCCTTCGGTGCGGACATATTTTCCCACCCTCCCTCCCTTATGGAGGCTTGAGAAGTTTATAACCAGGCCTTAWTTTTCGTCTGTTGGATTAAACTTCTCATTGTGCCAAACAAAGGAGTGTTGTGTCATTGTTTCATATTAGTTTTGTTTATTGGGGTTCTATGAGTAGAATTATGTATAATCGAGAAATTCTTAATATAATTTATCTGATAGCCATAAAATAGGCGGTTGTTTTTTTATATAATTCTTATTTTGAATTGTTTTTAGAAGAAATTTAATTTTAAGATTCATTAGTTCATTATTTTACACTTTGAGCTGCTTTGGTGTGATACTATGGAGATGATCAGCTCTTGTAACAATGTAGTATACTTATTACAGTTCTGTCTAAATCTAGCTACACTGTATCTCTCTCCAGTGACATTTGTCTCCCACTCCCCCCTCTCTCTGTGGTATACAGCACAAAGATCGTTAACTAGCTTGAAATTATAACTCTAATTCTGTTTTTAACGTAGTAAATTGGGACAAAATGATTTGACAATAAGAATTGTTTATCCAAATAACATGCATGTTAACGTTGCTATTGTGATGTCTATTATCATTTAAAATATAACTGTAATAAGGTATTTTTTGTACAATTAATTGGCATGCCAAGTCCAATCAATAGAATAATTTTGGATGAATAATTAGGACTTAAATAACTGAAATAACTGTCAATTAATGAAAGAAAAATGCCAGGATGGGTCTACAAAATGAAGAACATTTTTGAATGTGACATGACATTGGGCTTAGTCCATAAAATTATATCCAAAAATCATTTTTATTTTAGCATTGAAAATGGTATTACGAGAAGGTACTCCAATTTTTATATACTTCACTTGCATCCATATATTTGGTTAATTGGTTCATTTCCATTCATTTCCAGGTGCTGATTGGCTGCAAGGCCCTCATGTATACGCTTTATACTCTAGCTATGGCATGACGTCATTGCAAATCAGTCAGTTATTTGTTGCTGGGTTTGGATCTTCCATGATTTTTGGTACAGTTATTGGATCTTTTGCTGATAAACTGTAAGTACCTCATTCTCCATTAACCTGTTCACTTCTCCTCTCCTCCCCTTCCCATCTTCTTTACATGCCTGTCTCCTCTTCTCTCCTCTCCTCGAGTTGTTTGGGAAAATTCTTTTCCGTCATTCTAAATCAAAGACTACTAAATTTTACRCAACAGAACAATATTTTACACAATTCTCAAATTGGCTTTATGCCAAACTTCCGAACTTCAGATCATATTTTTACTTTGCGTTCTTTAATCGATCAACAAGTTATTAACAAAAAGAAAGGAAGAATTTATGCCTGTTTCATTGACTTTAAGAAAGCTTTCGATTCTATATGGCATGAAGGATTATTACTTAGATTATTACAATACAATATTAATGGTAATTTCTACAACTAATAATCAAAGATTTATATTCTGAGTCATCGTGCTTCGTAAAGATAGGCTCAAAGCGAACTAAGTCTTTTCAGTATTCACGGGGCGTACGACAAGGTTGTATCCTTAGTCCCTTGTTATTTAACCTATTTTTAAATGAGCTCTCAATGTCATTAGAAAATAGTAATAACACCGATTTTTATATTCTTCCAAATGGTCAAAAACTCACCTCCCTTTTATATGCTGACGATCTTGTTCTTTTATCAAAATCGCAAGTTGGTTTACAGAACTGTGTTAATCTTGTTAATAATTTCTGCACGAAATGGCAAATGTCAGTAAATGAAAAAAAATCAAAAATAATGATTTTCTGTAAAAAAGAAATGGACAGGATAAAACAATCATATTTCATCTTAAATGGTAACAGCCTAGAAATTGTTAAGGAATTTACGYATTTAGGCGTTCGAATAAGTTCTACTGGTAATTTTTCCTGTCACCAAACTAAATCAAAAGAAAAAGCTCTACATGCATCTTATAAAACCACAAATAAAATTGATTTTAGGCGTTTGAAACCAAAATTAGCTTGTAAACTATTTGATTCACTAATTAGACCAATCTTAACTTATGCATGCGAGATTTGGAGTGTGTATCAAAAGCACAACTTTGAAAAATGGAACAAAAATCCGATTGAAAAAGTTCAACTACGTTTTTGTAAATATTATCTTGGTGTAAGTAATAAGGCTTCGAATATTGCTTCACGTGCTGAACTTGGACGCTTTCCTTTGATAACATTTATTGATAAACTTTCTTTAAAATACTTTAATYATCTTTTATGTTTACCTGATAATTCTCTATCAAAACAAGCTTTACTTATTTCCCAGTCTTTACATGCAGA